ATTTAAAAGACATGTAGATGTGGTGCCTGGGACATGGTTTAGTGGTGGACTTGGCGGTGTTAGGTTTACGGTTGGACTTGGTGATCTTAAAGGTCTTTTCCAACATAAACGATTCTATGGTTTGTGGTTTGACAGGTCAAGGGCAGCAATCTCAGTCTGTCACTGTATGGGCGAGGTGCAAGTCATCAGATCAGGCGGCACTGTAAATCAACAAGTAGAGGTTGGACTCAGAGACTCCCTTGGAATTGTCCAGGCTTTGAAAAATAAAACAGTAAAAGATGTGTTCTTAACTCAGTTGCCTCAGGGGCATTAGCAAATTGCATTTCAAACAGTGCTGAAAGGGAGGTGAGGTACCTGGAGTGGCAGCTGAAAATGAATCCCGCCTGAGCTCAAGCAGTTAACTGCCGTGAGTTCCCAAGTTCCTTTGTCTCTGGTGTTATTTTAGTGACAGCAAGCTCACGGCAGTTAATGCACTTTTTTTTTTTGTAGTATAGACATCTCCTCGGTTATGATTCATGTCATTCTGCTGCATAGGCTTATTGAAATTCCTCAGCATGTCACTCACCCTCAAGGCTTCATCACATTGTGTGAGTTTGACTATAAAACTCTGCTGAAACAGAATTTACTTGGAACTTGAATTTATTGTCATTTTTGTGCAGCTGAGCTTTGTTCTGGTAGGCAAAACTCATGGTATCATTTGATATAGAGTGACCAGCATACAGGTTTTGATTTACAAAAGTTTTATTTAAATATTTGCCTTGATTTTTACTTCCCAAGCTGTCTTGTTGAACACCTTTTTCCATTACCATTTGTTTTGTCAGTGATTTGAAAGCATGCCTGGTTGTATAGAAAATCTAGGCAGCACCTTTCTGATGTGCTTTCTCTCTATTTTGTGACCCAGGGCTTGCCGTTGGTCTGGATCCACAAGGCTATGGGAACCCTGACTTCTGCTGGTTGTCCGTTCACGACACCCTTATCTGGAGTTTCGCTGGGCCCATTGTAATTGTTGTAGTTGTAAGTATGGTGGAGTTGGCATCCAGAGCCATCTTTTTCTTACTGCTGCCTTTTCTTTTATGTTTTGTCAAGCAGTAGTCGTAATGCAAAGTATCTGTATTCTTTACATTTGAAGGTGATGTGCTCAAGCTTGTCTCTTTTGCTTAAACAGATAAGGCCTGAGCTAAGCTCATGGCAATCAAGGGGCTGCTTGCCAGTTTGAACATTGCTTGTGAAGCAATGACTGTATGACCACAAACCTATTTAATTCTTCCCATTTGCTTTGTTCCATGTTTGAAAGGTCGGTGAGCTTACTAAATAAATCAACAAAATGAGCTATTACAGTCACTTCATCCAGAAGTCTTAAAGAAATATTAAATAATTTAAATTTCAGGAATTTAAAAGAAAGGACTGGTGTTTAACTTCTGCCTTAAAGCTTCCCTCAGTAACAGAGCACCAGAAGATAAGTATTCATGGTGTCACTCTGTCTTGAGGGCAGTTTTGGTATACAAGTAAACCTGGAAGCAGTGTAGATTTGGGTCATGAGTCGTCAGAGGCACGGGACAACTGCCACTGGAGGACCAACTAATTGAACTAGGAGTCTTCAGCCTAGAGAAGAGAAAGCTACAGAGAATGGGGGCGGGAGAAGCCTGTAATAGCATGAGAGTCTGCAGAAGATGACTGTGGAGCCAACCGTTGGGTGTATTTTCCAGTACAAGCAGTAGCAGGAGGTGGCAGGTTCAGAACAAACAGGACGAGCTACATCGTTTCTCCACAGTGGGTTAAGTTAGAAACTCCCAGAAATGGGACGGTGGCACTGGTAACGCTCTGCCTTGTTTCAGACAGTGAATGAGCAGACACATTCTCAGCAGTGAGATTCACTACGTGCGTTTAAGTACAAACACCCCACCCCACCTAGTACCTCCCAGCTGTGGAAATTGGTGGAGGCTGGGGGAGTACTCACAGGAATTATCACTATGTGCTTGCTCTGTTGCTGTATTCTTACATTCTGGTTTGGCCCAGCTGAAACAAGATGCTGGGCTGACTGGACTCTGGGCTGGGCAAAGACAGCCGTTCTCGAGTTTTTGCCTTTTACTTAATCCTCTTTGCGCAGGGCTATCCTACTGAGTTTCATCCAGATCAAGTCCCAGGATGTTCTTAACTATGTTGGCTGGAAATGAGATGAATCTTGGAACTTAGAGATGTGTAGATGGAAGGCAGAGTATTCTTGGCAGCACAAACTATTTTAGGATAAAAATTGCATTTTCACTGAAAACCAAGCTCTCACAAATATACAGAAAGAATCAATGCTGTTTTTTCAATTTCTCTTTCAGATAAACACTGTGATCTTTGTACTAGCAATGAAAGCATCGTGCAGACGGAGGCAGCGTTCATTTGAAAAAACTGGAGTCGTGTAAGTTTGGGTTCAAAAACCTGTAGAAAGTGTTGGAGCGGGAAATAAAAAAGGCATTTGGAGACAGTCAGCATTGATAGAGGTGATTGGAGCTGCTTCACCAGCACCTACTCCTGAGGTTCCCTTGGAGGGAAGCTCCACCATGGTGCTCTGCACCATCACCAAGTCTAGGCAGGAGAAGGGAGGGGAGAGGTAAAGGTCTGGTCTCCAAACAGTATCATTACAGTCCTTCCACATTTGTCGACATACACTGTCACTTCACCTCTGGCCGTGGCATGCCCAGGCAAATGTAGTTCTGGGTCTCCCCATGCTCATCCGTGGCTCAGAAAGGTCTCCCCTCACAAATGCCTGGGTTACCAGTCACGTCATGGTAGAGATTGGTTGAGGTTCCTATGCTGGGGGCCAGTCTCCCCCATCCCACTCCTGGTGGGATGAGCAGAAAGCCTCGCAAGCTGCAACCTGCTGCCTTCCCCAGCTGCTGTGGCAGATTGTTCCCATTAATGTCTGTTTTGCCCAAAGCTCAGAATCTACCTGTGAACTGCAACGTAATTAGCTAGTGACAAGACAGCCCTCCCCCTCTTTTTTTTTTTCAAACAAGTAGCTATGTGAGATTTCAAAAGGCTTTTTCTAGCTATTTATTCAGCCCTGGCTGTTGGGTAATTTTTTTTCAGTTTCTTTTTTAAAATTCCTTATACAAATGGAGCTCCCTACTTAATGGCAGCTAGTTTACTCATAATACAAAATTTTGCCACTAGAATTGCAACTGTTCTATTGAAAGTGTCTGTGGAAATAAGGTTTTTAAGCAAACAAATGCTCCCCTGAGTGCCCTTGATCCAAAACCGTGGGCTTGTAATGTCAAGAAGGAATGTGAGAGTGAACTTGACAAAGAGAAATAAGATGGACGTGGCTGTTTACAGCCCAGACCTCTTCCTCAGAGTCAATAAGGCTGAGCAGCACGGGCTTGGCAAACAGCCTGGTTTGCTTGAAGAAAATCTGGGAAACGAACATGAAAATAAATCACTTTTTACCTGGAAGTGCAAAGTCATTGAGCAGTGCAGTGAGAGAGCTGGCAACTGGGAGCTGGTGAACGCTGCCCTACCTTTCCCAAAGGGCCTTTCCAGCTGCCGAATTGTTGAGGGACGTGGCACCGCCCGTGTGGAGAGGTCTAGCTGTTCTCTTGTAGCCTGTGGTGCCTCAGACACCTGTCTGTGTTTGCTTTACAGCTCTGTGCTGCGAACGGAATTCCTGCTCTTGCTTCTCATCAGTGCCACGTGGCTGCTGGGGCTGATGGCGGTGAACAGCGATGTCATGACATTTCACTATCTCTTTGCCATTTTCAGCTGCCTGCAGGTAAGGCGGACGGTGCCTTGTCCGTAGCAGACCTTGGTGAGCACGCTGCTGCAACGCAGCCCTCCAGAAACCTGCTAAACATGAGATAACTTAAGAAGAACAGAGATGCCAAGTACAGGTTTTGCTCTCTTTTCGCAAAGAGAGGGCTCTTTTCACCAAAACCGTAACTTTAAGTAATTGCATCTCTTGCTTTTAGTCATTCTAAAGTTAAGTGCTCTACTATTGTAATCTGTGACAGATAAATAACAGTAGATAATTATACCTCTGTCTTTCTTGAGACAAAATCTTTGTTACTATCTTCTGTGTGCTCATTGTTAACAGTTATTCTATTGCTACGGCAAACGGGATTGTTTTATTTCACACAGAGTGGATGGCTCCAAGCTCACGGCTTTCACAAATTAAGTTACTGTTTAAGGAAATGTGTCAAATAATTATTTCCAAATACAACTCATTGCCTTAGAGTTTTACTGGATTGCCTGTCCTCTTGCACACACTCATTGATTAAAGATGCATAAAATAGCTATTTCACAGAATCACAGAATGTTAGGAGTTGGAAGGGACATCAAGAGGAGACCTGGCACAGAAGTAATTGTGAAGCTTCATATTGGTCCCAATTACAGCCAAAGAGAAAAAGAAATCTGATGAGTCTCCTCTGGAGATGACTGTCCGTGCCCTGGAAGCACAATAGATAGGCCAGCCTGGAGCCACTGCAGCTGTTGTACTCTGAACTACATACACCTCCGCAGGCTGTAAAACCAGGCTTCCACAAGCCTAAAATAAAATTAAATTAAATATAAACCTGATAAGAGGGAGGAAAGTCAGCAGCTGGAATTCTCCAAACTTGCCTAGTGGTATGTGGCGTTTCACATCATTGCCTTCTTTGAACTCGTGTTTTTAAAGATATATGTGAATTTTATTAATGAATAATCCCGAGGTGCTAATGCTAGCTGAGATCACACTTGATTGAATGTTTAGAAAGTGAGCTTGAAGTTTAAAGTTAGCCTAAGTCATTTGCTTTGGCTGAAATCATGAAGTGCAGGCTTCTTGTGATGTTGGTACAGCTGCAACTTCATGAGTGATTGGCTTCTGCATACTATATCTCCAACCAAAATTGATAACAATTTGGCAGCTGCTTGAATTCCCTCAGAAAAAAATGCATCTGAAGGTACACATGTGCATGCCCCCTTCCTCCAGCAAAAGCTGTTCATGTGTATTCCTGGCAGCCAACAGCTGCCCAGCCCTGGGATTTTAGTGATTTTCCCGCTGGGAGGTGTTATCAAACCAAGCAATGTATGGGGCAAAAGGTGGGACTTCTCTGCCCCCCATACCCCTTCACATCTCACAAGGCCTTCTAAAGTTCTCTTAGCAACAGTAGTAAGGACACCTACCATAGAAATTCACCATTTCAGAAGTTTTTGCTAAAAACTGTGATATTTTTATTGTGCTGCTACAGATTTTATCTCGTTGTTGGTATAAAAGCTCTAAAGTCGTAGGGCAGGTACAACCCTGAAACTCCCTGCAATGTCATCCAGTGGGACATTAAGGTCCCCACTGGCTATTTTGAGAAGAAAGTTTCTGCCCAAACGATGAAGGAAGCTGGCACCTACCACAAACTCCGCTCTGTAAGTCCTGGGGGAGCTTGTGTGTATTGTCCCAGACCTTCCATGTGCATTTGAACTTGGAAGCAAATTATGAAGAAGTGCTAGGAGATCAGTCAATGACATTTCAAAGACAGAAAATAGTGCTTTTGAAATCATGGACTATGAACTAGAATTCAGGGGTTATTTCAAAACAGCTGTTCTCTAACATCTATATTTGCAGTTTAGTAGTAATGAGACATTTACATTCATTCTTCCTCTCTCTGAATTGATCCAGGGGCTGTTCATTTTCTTCTTCCACTGCGTATTTAACAAAGAAGTCAGGAAGCACTTGAAGAACACTTTAACTGGGAAGAAACCTCTTCCAGATGATTCCACTGCAACAAGAGCTACATTATTAACTGTAAGGAAAAAAAACACTGGGGAAAAAACATCCTCTTACTGGTAGAAGTCACCTAAAATAAACTTATAGGTGGCTTATCTGGAATTAAATGGATTGTCTGATTGCTTTCAGTGACTTATACAAAGATTACTGATGGCCTCTTAAAACTTGTGATTAATGTTTTAATTAAAACTTTTGAGAGGAAAGAATTCTTTTCCTCAGCATCAAGAAACACTTGGTTCCTTCGAAACTTAATACGTTGGTGGGTAACATGGGCTTTTGGTAGGATCATTCACTATTGCTTTGTGTCTTTTTTTTTCCCTTCAGCGATCCCTGAACTGTAACAACACATATATAGAAGAGCCAAATATGTATCGCACCACTATTGGAGAATCCACTGTCTCCCTAGAAAGCACCGTCAGGTCAGCCAAGAGCCACAATAGCTACCTTGCTTATATTCTCAGGTAATCAGGTGGCAGGTGCATGGCTTTCAGGTGCTTGCCTTCCCTTTTTCATTGCTCTTGTGAAAAACAGAAGTGTTGTGGTTCACATGCTACTTTGTTGATGTCTTTGCAGTTCTGGTTTATGTGACTGCCATTTTCTTTTGTGCCTTTCCTTTTGCATGCTTCTTCAGTGGGGTGTTCCAACAGCGCAGTGGTTAACATGGCTGTTATGTTAACTTCAGGGGCCATGCTGCTTGCTGTTAAAATTCAGACATGTCTCGAGGAGCGCAATTTGGCTTAACTTCAGGCCTCTTCAGAGGGTGGTTCATGCAGCCAAAGGCACACAGCTGCATTAGGGTAACCTCTGTCTTGCTGTGAAAGTGACTGCACTGACAGCCACGCACAGGCTGGCTGGCACCCGCTGCAGTTGTCTGCATCTGACTGGAAGAATCTCCTCTGCACGTCTGCTTTGTTGTTAAGAACAGTGAAGTTGTCCTTTGACAACCAAGAAAGTTGTTCTCTGTTTTTACTCCCAAAGGGACGAGGCTGCTCATAAGCTCAGTGGATCCTCAAGTCAAGCAAGGGCTGGTCAGACTGAAGCAGATTCCTCCATTTTTCATAGGAATCCATCAAAATCCAATGGTAAGAGTTATTTCTAAATGCTTTGACACAGTTGTGCACCTTTTCACTCCCAGCACTTTTTTCAAAGGCTTCTGTAAAAGGGAAAATAGTTAGTCTCACTTGGCGTGTCTCATTCTTGTTGTGCTCTTGGCATAATGAGCTACGCGATGGCTGCCTTACTAGGGAATCCTGGAATGGAAATATGTATCTGCTTCTTGTGATGGTTCAGTTTTAGTCTTGACAGCTGTCACAGCTGTTGACAGTTTCTGGCATCCCCTTTCTTTCTCACAAATTATGTGCTGTTGCTCTTGATTTTTAATTGGAAATCTTTTAACGCTTGAGACCTTGAGGCAATATCCTCCTTTGCTGCTATGCATTTTTTACAAGAAATTGAGAAGTGTCTCTTGTCTGATTTCCTTTCATTCACATCTTGACATTAAAGTTTACCACCATGTAGCAGCATTTAAGTTTTTTAAGTGCATTTGCAGATTCTTGATATTTTTAGGTACGTGGTTAGCCTGTGTGTTGTGTTGATTGAGGATCCTACAGAGTTACTTCTCGGCATTTTGAGTAGGGAAAAAAAGTGTCTGTTCTGTACCTCCCATGCACATAAAAAGTCCTGGCCACTATCTGAGCTGAGCAGTTGTACTTCCCATAATTACTTAGATGGATGCCACAGTCCTTGTGAATTAATGTTGCGTACACTTACAGAGACGTAAGAGCTCATCCCTGGTATGGCCTAAGCCCAAACAAGCTTTCTTTCTCCTTGTGCATTTGTCAGATAGATTTGTTCAACTGCTGCCCAAGGTCTCATTGCTGTGTTTCCCCTTTCCTTATTTGTAGAGCACGATTCAGACTCCGACAGCGAACTTTCCCTTGATGAACACAGCAGCTCTTATGCCTCTTCCCACTCATCAGACAGCGAGGAAGACGGGCTTGAGACAGAGAAGAAATGGAATACATCTGCTTCCAAAAATAATGAACGTGGCCCTCTCCACAGCACGCCCAAAGGTACTCCTGCTGTGGGGGAAGAGCAATGGGTTTATTCCCTATAAGGCTATAAAATAGCTTTAGAGTAGATGGGACAGATTTGCCAGACTAACACAAAGCTGAGACGGCGTTCCTACCACTGTGCCTTGCTTCTACAGAGAACCTTGTTGTCTCCAGCTTAGAGACCTTTCTTCCTTCCAAAGGCTTGTTCACAGGGGTGACTGAGCACAGGTAAAAGGATGCTTAAGGAAATCTGCAGCTTAAGGTGCTCAAGCAGGGAGTGGGCTTTGCAGGCAGGTCCCCACAGCACTTGGAAATGGTGCTACCCATCCAGCAAAGTCTCATATGAAGGAAGAAGGACAAAAAAGCTGATTGTTTTGAGGGTGGCGGAAGAAACACCTGACTTATGGGTGATTCAAGTGTGTGGATTAAGGGGTGAAGGTGGCCCTGAAGAGTTGGAGATCATTGGCCATTAATGTCAGTACTGTGTGGCAGGGTGCAGGCATTTCTAGGTGTAACTCATCTTGTCCTAAAGATGAGTGAGTAACATCCAGGCTGTGTGCTGGTCCTCTGCATAGGCACAGCACAAGGCATTCTGGGTGCCCTCACCCTTCAGAAACCACCCTCCCCAAGGAGCTGGTGGGATCACCATCCCTGGAGAGCTGAGAGGTCATGCTTATCCATAATGGAGCCAGCGACCTTGCTCTGGGAAGGGTTTGGACACCTTGCCACCCTACCAGGTGTGTTTTGTGGGGATCGCTGTGCCCCAAGGGCTGTGCAGTCCAGCAAGGATAATGTGATGGATTGCTCTGGTTCAACGCGCAACTCCTCCCCAGCCACAGAGAGCAGGACTGGATGGGCAGCAGCTGAGAAAACATATCAAAAGTAGTTTTCGAGCGAGTGTTTTTTTGCGTTGCAGTTGATAGCCTTCCCAATCATGTGAAACCCTATTGGCCCACAGAGTGTGTCACGGCCAGCGATGGCGAGGACCCCGGCGGGAAACAGAAACTCAAAGTTGAAACCAAAGTCAACGTAGAGCTTCACAGGGAAAACCAGATGAACCACAGCAACGAAGCGCCGCAGGACAAGGAGAACGAAGGGCAGCAGAAGGAGAACAGACCTCTGTCCCACCAGAATAACCAGCAGCCGGAGCAGAGGAAAGGTAGTGCAGCCAACCTAGCCTCACAGCTGGACTGGGAGACTGCGGGGTTAATGAGCATTAATTAATTCATATGGTAGCTGTATGAAGGAAACACACTTTCCAAATGACTCCAGCCTGGGTTACCAGATATGCAATGGGAAGCTAGTAGGTAGTAACCAAAGACTAATCTTTCGATTTTGAAATAAAATTACAAACCAGAAGACTGATTAAGAAATACAAAATGTCACTTCTCGGATGTGTAAGGGAATTACTGATGTGTTTCAAAATCCTCATTGTTCCCTCTTTTCTGTAACAGGCATCTTAAAAAATAAAGTCACCTACCCTCCCCCACTGGTGGATAAGAATGTGAAGAATCGACTGCGGGAAAAGCTGTCGGATTACAATCAGACCACAATCTCATCCAGGACTGCTTCCTTGGGGACAAATGATGGGGTCCGCTCTCCCTCAGACTCAGGGGTGACAGTAAAAAATGTTCGGAGGGAGCAGTCTCGAGACCAGCTCAATGGCATGGCCATGAACGTCCACGTGGGAACAGGACATGCTGACACCTCAGACTCAGAGTAAGTGCCACATCGGGGTGCCTTGACAGACCTCCCATGGCTCTGGTCTCTCCCTCCGCTTTCTAGCCCCAAACTCCCACACAAGCAAAGATTTCACCTGGTAACTGGACCAGTCCTTCACCGCTGAGTGCCCTGAAGGCTTGTCGTACCATGTCACCAAGCCGTGGTGTTTCACTGGTGAAAAGGCCAAACTAGGTATCACCGGCAAGTTGCCATGACAGACACCTGTCACTGGTCACCCTGGCAGGCTCTGAATTGGCAACCTGATGTGTCACTGGCGTGCTGTGAACTAGAGCAACCTATTTCTGCCTCGTCACCTTGCTGCAGGACCTGCTGCTCTTGGCGTGGTGCCCCTGATCACAGTGAACTGGACTCCCTCAGCCACACGAATTATCTATCCCTTCCCTGCCTAGTGAGCTGCCAAGATCATCACCTTCCCCAGCCATTCTTGGCTACACACATCACCAGAACAAGGATGATCTTTTTCCACTTCCTCACACTTCCAGGCATCTGGGATGGCTTAGCAATGCCCACCTGTAGTCCTGAGAAACATGTATGCCCTCGGGGGTGCTCTGCTTGGGGCTACCTCCTGCTCCTGCTTCTGTGTCTCCAAACCCTCACCTTCACCTGGGCTGGACCACAGGAGCATTTGGTTTTTCATCCGTTTTTCACCTACCCTCCCCTTTCACAGCTGGGAGAGTGTTTGAGCCCATTAGGGACCTGTGAAATTGGGGTGCAGTGAATGTGGCCTGTACCAGGGACTGAGGGAGGAGAAGTACAGCGTAAATGTGTAGCAGCATTTCTTGATGCATGTCCACTAAGACCAGCAAGCATTGTTGTGGATGTCTGTCAGCCAGCATGGAGGAGAACAGGTCCGGGGCAAGACCCCAGTGAAGAGGATCCCTGAGGAAGCATGGTGTTTTGGTGGGCAAGGGCGTTGGGCTGGGAGGGGAACATTCAGCGGGTGTCCTGCTGGGCAGAGGGAAACCATTGCTGGGGCAGGAGTTTCAAAGGCCACAGAGGTGACAGGTCAAGCTACTGACCCTAAATTAACAGGTGTGTGATTCCTACCCGCTGCATGGCGATCAGTGTGTGTATTTGCCATTGTAAGCTAAATCCAATGTTAACAAAAGGCTGAGCAAGTTCTCAGCCACAGGATATTCTCAGAAACCTCGTTACTCATCATGATTCTTACATTTAAAACGAGGACAGCAGACGTGTAAGGTCTGTGCAAACATTTTACACATGTAGTCTCATTTTTTATTAACACAAATAGTAGTCTCATTCTTTCTCCAAAGTGAGAGAAAATTTCTTACCAGTCTTTAAATTTGACATTGTCCCACCATGTTGCCCATGTTGTCTGGGTGCACAGACCATTCCCAGCTCACTATAAAAGTGCATCTTCGAGTTGCTGGGAAGTGGCCAATGAGATACATCCTGGTTAGCCAGGAAACAGAGATGTCTTTAACAAGCAATAACTACTTGCTTGCTACCAGGTACTGCAGTCATTACTGGAGAATAACTTTAACTGAGCAACTGTTTCATCTCTGCAACTTTTGCATAATGCAAAAACTCTGCTGCTGGGTGGCAGATCGCATGAATCTGAAATACCAGGTTTCTGACAGCTTGTCAGATTTGTGTGTGAACTTTTCATCCTCACTTAAGCATTAGCCAAATACAAGCCGTCCGTAGAGCTTCCTCTAAAGAGTGCATCTCCTGTGTACTGTCTGCAACTGTTCCTCCCAGCTGGTCTTCCCCTCCAGGGCAGAATCCTCCTTGCAAACGCTGGATGGGTGAGACTTGGTAACTTCACAGACCATGAGCCCGTAGTAAAAAAAGGATAAGGTTTGTCTGGGGGCAGTTGTTTGTTTGCCTGTGCCTGTTTAACCCTAAGCCTGCATGATTACTTCTTCTCGCTAACAGAGGCAGTAACGAAACTTCAATTTGAACCATCAGGAAACTGTGATCGCTGCTGCGCCTTTACGGACTCCTCGCCACGGGGTCGCCGCCTGCCCGCCCCAGACTTCATCGGAGTGGCCATGTCGCAAGGAGGACAAGGTGGGCATCGATCTCCGCATGGTTTCCCGTGATGGTGGCAAACTCCTGAGTGCTCGCGGCGGAGACACGGTGCCAGGACGCACCCGCGCTAAGGCTGCCGTGTAGTGCCCTCTGCACAGCACGAACCCGTGCCAAAACACATGGAAATGGCCACAGAGATGCACTGCGAGGGACGGACACCTACCCGCGGTGCAGACAGTGCTGCAGGGGTTGGTTATTACTGGGGAGTACCAAGGAAAAGCGTGTTATTATCGCAGTGGACCTACAGTAAGTCAACCAATCAGCCTTAAGACAAGCACCAGGAGACATCTCTTGTGGAGTTTTATCCGGCTACAGTGTGAACCCTTTGGCTTGCTGGGCTCTGGGGAGGAGTATCCCAACAAGTGTCCTTTTGTTTCTATGCCAGCATCTCTATCCACCCACCTATGGACAAGTCGTCTTAAGAAAAAATATTAAAAATCCTTTATATATATATATAAAAAGTGTAGATACTTTTATATATTTTGTATGGTGTTGCTAAAGAAAAAGTTCCTTTGTATATTTTACATTTATACTGATCTTAATTTGATAATAGGAAATTGATTAAAAGAGGTTTTGATATTTTTTATATGAACATTGCACAATTCTACTTGAATTTGGCATTTGATAAAGTAACCGAGGTTTGCATGGAAGCCACCTTAAGATGCAGTGCAGTTTTCAAAGTAATACCGTAAAGATTACATTGAAATCCATGACTGTAATTTGTAAGTTCTGTTGACAGATTTTGAAACACTTTCAGGACACAGTATGTTTTTTTTTCATAACCTCTTCTAAAACCCACAAAAATGTTTTGTTTTCTCATTTTTTGGTGTTTTGAGCTCTTCTCTCAAGTGCATTGAAAAGTTCAGCAACTGAACTTCAGGACTGAAAATACACCATGTCTTCATCTTCGACTTTTAGATGAAGTCAAATCAATATTTCCCTTACCAGGAACAAGAAAACAAGTGGTGTCATTGTATGGTAGGTTTTGTCTTTGGTCTAGCTCTGCAACAAACCAGTGCCCTGTGTGTCCCAAGAAGAGGGCCCTCCTCCCATGGGGCAAGTTCTGCCTCAGGCACAGTATTTTGTTTTACTGTTAATTTCTTTCCCCCTGGAGTCAGCACATTGCTTAACAAAGCAGAAGAATGAGTCTTTAAGGATGTCCAGGTTTTGCCCAGCCCTGGCCTTCTTGATGTTTCGAAAAGCACATGGAAGGCTTGAGATTTCATGTCTCCAACAAAATACGCAGGTTTCACAAGTCTAGGATAGTTAAGCGTGGCCTGTCCACCATCTTCACCTTCCTGCAGTGTTTACAAGAGAAGGAAGAATAAGATGTGAAGAAGTTTGCATCCAGTAGCATGGGGCAGAGCTGTGCTGGTGCCTTCCTAAGACTGGAATACGCAACCCAAAGGGTGGCCATGACCTACTCCCCACCACCAAGGCTCTCAGGAGCTCCTAGGTCACTGTAACAGCCCTTTTGGGAAAATATTGGCTTTCATTTGTTTAACTGTTTGTGTGAAAGGGAAAAAACAAACAAACAAACAAAAAAACAGCAGAAAATCAGGCTGAATAAAATACAGGAGTTGAGGGGAAAAAAATGAGATAACATGTATCATAATCTTGGTTTCATTATATTCCTATGCATTCTCAAATGTATCAAGGAGGCCTTTGGAAGGGGAGAAGGAGGAAGGATGCTGTTCCTTTAAAAAATATGCAACATACTGTGTGACATTTTCTGACTGAAAAAAAGTTTTGAATGTTTTAAGGGTCTGGCACTTGGCTGCGTGCTCAGGCATTGTGTATAACCCACGCTAGTTGTTTTTACATCTGTGTATGTATATGTTGTCCCAGTGAGATGTAGGTAGTTTTTATTTTGATCAGAATTGTTGCAGTAAATAAGGGTCAGTTGTATTAATGACAAAAAAAAAATTAAAGCCTATTTTTATGACTTTTTAAAAGCTTTATGGCAGATTAGACACTGGAGGTTTTGTGTTTGTTTTTTTTTAACAAATGTATATTTATTAATGTGCAGAACACTGGAATTGCAGCACAGATGAAAGGAGAATTTACAATAAATTAAGAAAATTTTTTTTGAACTTGCATTCTTTCTCTGGTGGTTTATCTTAAGTGCAGTTCAGATGCTGAGGGTCACAGAATCATTAAGGCTGGAAAAGACCT